CATGAATAATTGGAAGGAGCTATATAATGATGAAGGGATGCTAATGGGGTAGAAGAAAAAAGTATCCCTCCAGAATCCTGTCTTCAAGGGTAATGAGAGAGTTAAATTTTTAAAAATGGAAGTCATAGGGGTTAGAGTACTCCTGCTCTGAGGGTTTAAAGACAGGAAAGAGAAGGGAGGGTAAAAGAGAGGGTATATTTAGTGTAGAAAAGAGGAAGAAGGAAGTGGAACTTGCTACTTTTCATAATTGGGGTGTGTGAGAAGAATATACAAACAAGGAGGAAGAGGTAGAGGGAGTAGGCATTAAATGAACCTCAGTCTCATTTGAAATGGATGAAAAAGGATTGAACAGTTTGGTTTATAAATACATTAAACTAAACAAAATTCAACAGGGAAATAAACATGGACAAGTGGGGATGGAGGTGAAGGAGAGATAAATTGGAAAGAAAATAGTCAGAAGCAAAACAAACTTCTTGATTCCGGGATTTTTTTTTTAAAGAGAAAAAAAGAAAAGGGAAAGGAGAGGAGAGAAGATGAAAGAAGAGGAGAAAAATAAGAGAGGAGAGAAAAGACCCAGAATTTAAGAGGGGGTGGAGTGGGGAGAATTCTTAGACTGCCTGTTAGACAATTGAGGAATTGCTGAACAAATTGTGTCATGTGAATGTCATGAGATATTATTGTGGTGTAAGAAATGATGAAAGAGAAGATTTTAGAGAACCTTGGGTATTATGAGCAGAACCAGAAAAATAACTCGTGAAGAACAGTAACATCATAAAGAAAAGCAAAAGATTATGAACTCTGATCAATGCAATGACCAACCAAGTCTTCAGAAGACCCATAATGAAGCATGTTTCCCACCTCCTAACAAAGAGGAACGAATACAAGGTGAAGAGAGTCACATTTTTGGACATGGTCACAGTGTGGGATTAATTTTGTTTGACTATGTTTATGCTTTACAAGCTTTTTTCTCCCCTTTCTCTTGGTTAATTATATGGGAGGGACCCAGGAAGGAAGATAAGGTTAGCAATAGTGATGCTAAAGGAAAAAAAGAGCCACTGTGACATTTTTTTAATGGACAGAAAACAATAGAAGTTCGGAAGGAGGCACAAACAATAAGGACCATTTTGAAAGTGACATATGTAATTTATTATATACTTTGAAAAAGAAAGCCCGTAGCCTGAAATGGAGATTCACAGTTTCATATAGAACCCTCTTTTTATGTTATGTATGGAAATGCACTTTTTTGTTTTTAAGTTCAGATTAATAATTAAAAAAAAGAAATGGTAGAGAAGTAGATTTAGACTCGATGTAAGGAATAACTTACTAACAATCAGAGCTGTACAAACGTGGAATGAATTGCCTCAGGTTCATAGCTTCAGAGGTAGAAGAGATCTCAGTGGTCATTTGATCCAATCCTCTAATTTTAGAAATGAGGAGACTAAGGCCCAGAGAGGTTATGTGATATGCCCCAGGTCACATATGCAGCAAATACAAAGTCAGGATCTTAACCCAGCTCTTTTGACTAAATCCAGTGTTCACTTCTCTGCAGGACCTTGTCCTTTAATCCTAGAATCTCAGAACTGGAATACATCTTAGAAGACAGATAGTTCAAAATCTACATAAATAAGAATGTCCTCTATAGAACATGCATCAAGTGGCCATCCAGACAGTGCTTGAAGACCTGCAGTAAGGTAGGGGTGGGAAGGAGGGAGGCTTCCTATCCATTTCACCTTGATAGCTACAATTCTTAGAAAGTTTTTCTATGCATTAATCCTAAATCTCTCCTCCCTCTGCCTCCCTCCTTCCCTCCCTCTCTCTGTCTCTCTGTCTCTCTCTCTGTCTCTTTCTCTCTCTCTCTCTGTCTCTGTCACTCTCTCTCTCTGTCTCTCTCTCTCTCCTGCCCCCCACAAAAATTCCACAGTTCTTTCAATCAGTCCTTACATGGTACAACCTTGAAGCCTGACCTAGGCTCCCTCTCACTGGATGTCTGTAAGCAGAGTCTGGATAGCCATTTGTCAGGAATGTTATATAGGGGATTCCTGTTCAGGTACCAGTTGGAATAGTGACCTCTGAGGTCTCAATAGACTATGAAATTCTGTGATCTAGTCCAAAACCCTAATGTTTATTTTATTTTGTTTGTTTAATTGATTGATGCCTTTTTTGTTTTCTATAAAGTTATTTCCTGTTATACTTTCCCCATAGCATAGAACTCTCCCTTGAAACAAAGAAAAACATTAGTAAAATTGTCCAACACCATGACCACTTGAGAGTATATGCAACATTTGGCTACCATGGCCCCGTCCTCCGTCATCATTCACAGACAGATTCTCTGACTTGAGGACGGTTTGTTTCATCTTCCAGAATCAATCCTGGCCATTGGCATGTCTGATTTCAGCTGTTTTTTAGTGTTATTTGAATTTACATTACTGTGGTTATTATGTCTACTGTTTTCCTATGAGCACTTACATTTTATAGAAGAAGAACTGAGCGCCAAAAGGTACACTGACTGGCCCAAGTTCCCACTAGGAGTAAGCACTAGGATTAAGATTTGAACTCAAGTCCTTTGACTCCAAATCCAGAACTCTTTGAGTATGCCATGTTTCCACACATGCTAGTCTTTCATGACAGTATAATCTGGCTCATATTTATCTCTTAGTGTTAAATCTGGCATTACATGAAGAAGTTGAGAAGGATGTTTTTCAGCCTTGCAAATAAACAGTTTAAAAAAAAACTCTTTTGGCTGATTTTCACATTTATTTAGGGAATGAGCAAAAAAGTTGTGTAATTAGAATATAAATATTATTGTCATCAGAAGTGATAAATATTAGGAATTCAGAGAAATATGAGAAGATTTTATGAAGTTATCCACAATAAGGAAAGTAGAAACAAGAAAACAATAAACAGTGGTGACAACACTGTAAATGAAAATATTAAAATATAAGTTGAATTCAGACAAATGGCAATGAACTCTATTGGTTTTGGAGAACAGATTATGAAATGGTAGAGAGGTGAGGGACCATGGGTGTGGAATGCTGCCAAATAAGTTTTTCCTTGTTACAAAGGAGGGTTCAATGGGTGAGAAAGGGTCGCTCAGAGATGATTATATTTTTTTTTTAACTTTAACTAAAAACAAAGAAAACATTAAGTTCAGCGAATTTTCATTTGACCTATTTTTGCCCGGTCTCTTCCTCCATTTAGTAATTTCCCTTCCCCTCCCATGGTGCCCACAGTCTTCTATACACCCTTCCTCCTTTTGTAAGTCTGGAAGAATACAGACATTTATAAGTAGGTTTCATTTCTTAGCTGCTAGGCTTAGGAGTTAGTAAAACACAAGAAAAAAAATCCTTTTTTTTCTAAGTCCTCATCTCACAAAAAAATTGGAGACAAAAATGGAAGAATGAAATTGAAAGCAGACTAATTGGTTTTTCTCTCAGAGTTCATACCTATTAGAAATATTTAACCTTCACAAAAGGTTATTTTTTATCTTTTATTTCATTGTATAATGAGTTTTTACTTCAACTGCTACTCAAAAAAATAAGAATAATTCTATACCAGGTATTATGCTTGGTGTTGGAGACGCAAAGACAAGAACAAATAAATCCCACCTTCCAGGATTCATTCTACTAGGGGATGGCGGTGGGAGGAGGGGCCAGACTTACCAGGTCCACAAAGGAGTAAATGCATGTAATCACCCTCTCTTCTTTAAGCTCATCCATAGAAAGAAGAGTAGTAGCAGGGGTGGCCCCCACATAAAGAATAGTATGGATTCTCCTCCTCCTCAGTAAAGATGACTGTAACTATAACTTTCATTAAGGATGGAAAGTACATATAATAGAAAGTCCCATGAGAATAGTCATGTTTCATTTTTCTAGCAACACTGGGGTGGAGATTACTCTTAACCAGCCATTAAAATGATTTCTCCCTTTTTTAGTCTGGCCAAAAAAAAAAAAAAACCTCATTTTTGTTCTCCCTAGGAGTCTTCCTGGGAGTAAAGGAAATGATGGCCATCACAGGACTTCTGAAAGTTACTTCCTAAAAAAAGGAGACCTGTCATTTGGGTAAACAAATGGCGGCACATGGATCTAATAGAATACTACTTCATCTCAAAAAACAATGAATATGAATAGTTTATAGAACTGTAGGAAGACATCAACTGGTACAGAGGGAAGGAAATAGAATCAGGAAAACAGTATGCATGATGACTACAATCTAAATGGAAAGACACACCCCTCTTCCCCCTCCCCTAAAAAAAAAAAAACAACAAAAAACAACACTCACTAAATACTGAGTAATTATAAAAACCAAGCTTGGCCTCAGACAAGAGTTGAGAAAATGTGCTTCCCTCTCACTGCAGAAGTGGGGAACTATAATATGGATATGGAATAATGTATATACTGTCAGACAAGCACCACTTAATGGTTGTTTTTTGGGCCCTCCTGGCTCAGAGTAAATGTAAACAATAACTTTCTCTTTTGGTCAGCAACCCTGAAGGTCTTTCCCTCCCAGTTTGATATTTTTTTTTATTAAAGGGGTTATCCCTGAATGGGCATTGCCTCACTCAAAGTGAGAACTTGAAAAGACCTTAGCTTAAAAGGACCAAGGTCTCCCACTGTATCCTGGGCCATCTCCAGTCATCCATGAATATCTGGCCACTGGACCCAGATGGCTCTGGAGGAGCAAGTGAGGCTGGTGACTTTGTATAACCCTCCCTCACTCAAATCAAAGTCGATTGCAAGTCGTGTCATCATCTCCTGATATCATGGTTTTCTTTGAGAACAAAGGACAAGCCACAACCACAAGCATGCACACAGTTGAAGAACTGATTAGTTTTACCGAACTGTTTTTTTTCCTCTTTTTTTAAGTTTAAAAAGATTCCCTACCCCCAAAAGAATGACTGACTGTAAAGGGGTGGGGAGAAAGATATATGCAGAAATAAATGTTATATGAAAACAAAAAGTGTTATTAAAATTAAAATTATTTTTTAATAAGAGAGGACCTACCTTTTTGAGTTTTAGTCTGGTTGAATCATTGCAGTACTTGTACCAGACAGACTTGAGAATGGATGCAAATGGTGTGACTCCAATGCCGGCTCCCACCAGCATAACTACTTCATAGCTGAATACATCCTCACTAGCAGTGCCAAATGGCCCATCTACTGCCACCCTATGGAGTTGGACACAACCACAGTGAAAGAGTATTCATGTTTGGAGATGAAATAAATCTCAACAAGCAATTGAGGAAGTCAGATATATCAATTCCCAACAAAATACATTATTAGCAACTTTGGACTCAAAAGTCATAAGGGGAAATTTCAGTCAACTTTACGCATTTCTTGGTACAGTGAATGAATCTCTCTCTCTCTCTCTCTCTCTCTCTCTCTCTCTCTCCCTTCCTTGAACTTTACTCAGTCTGTGTGAACAGTCTACTATGTTTACCCCCTCTATCTTGCTCCTGTTAAATTTTAAGAGATTCTGAAAAATCCTATAAACATATTCCATAAATGTGAACTATTACCGTTTGCTGACCTTATGGCCATAGACAAGTCAATAATTCACCTCTCTGAGCCTCAGTTTCCTCATAAAATGAAGGGGATGAACTAGGAAATGACTGAAGTCCCTTTCAGCTCCAAATTCTATGTCCCTAAAACCATTTCTGCAGAGAAAAATGAGGATTTTTGATGGTAAAAGTAAATATCAAATATTTTCATACCTCACATAAAGCTTATAAAATATGTATACACAGCATTTTCTTTTGCAAGATGGCTAATACAGAAATATGTTTTGCATGACTTCACATATATCATCAATATCATATTGCTTGCCCTCTCAAGGGAGAGAGGAAAGGAGGGAGGGAGAGAATTTAGAATGCAAAATTTAAGAAAAAAAACAAATTAAAATTCATTACATGCAATTGGGAAATATTTAATGAAATAAACAAAAACATATTAAAAATTATGTACCCATAAAGTTTACAAAAATATACCCACACAAAAGAGGGAGAGGACACATAGATCATTCAATATTTCCTTAAGAATCTCCACACAGCAACAAAGTCTAGAACCAAAGGTCATAAGAGCTGAGGAGGAGATGAGACATCGGCTCAAAGTCAAAGAAGTTTTAATAATTCTACTTTTCTTTGACGGATTTTCTTCATATTATGAACTTTATACTTACTTGGGCAATTTCCAGGCTTCCTGAAATTCTGTTTTGTCACATCCACAAGCTTTAAAAAGACCTTCTGTCCAGTCTCCAACTATACGGATGTGAATACTGAAAAAGTCTTCCTCAGGGGCTGAAGTCAGTGTGAAGGGGTGCCACTCTAAATTTGACAACTTGGGGCATTTGACAAAAATATATTGTCCCACCTCCATCTTAAAACCCTTCTTCTTCATTTGTAGTTCAATGGTTTTGAAAGGGTGAGTGACCACCTGTATGAACAAATAGAATGTAAGCTCCTTGAGGACAGGGACTGTTTCATTTTTGTCATTATAGCCCCAGCACCTAATTCAACACATGGCACATAGTTGGGACTTAACAAATGCTTGTTGAATGAATGAATGAAGCTGAGTCATAAAAGTACTTTCAGTGGATTTCAAGCCTTGATATCTGTGTCTCGATTTGAATGAATGAGTAAGAGAATATGAACTTACAGCCCTCACTCATTAGCTGTATTTGCTGTAAGTTGACTATACTACAACTGGGCACTGAAGTTGGTTCTTTTATTGTAGCTAGGACAAAAAAGAAGGAGTGACATTCTGTCTTACAGCGTATTCCTGCTGGGACAAATAAAGTATGTAATTTCATTTGCAGGGATAAAATGTGAGACCTTATATGAGGGACATTGGGTAGCAGAGTGGACAATGTCTTAGAGGCAGACAATGTTAAGGTTGGAAAGGATCTTATAGATAATCTAACCCAATACCCTTAGAAGGGGAAAGAAATGGCTTCCTCAAGATCACACTATTAGCTAGTGACAAAGACCCAACTAGAATCCTAGTATCAAAAGTGAGAGAGAAATGCATTCAATTGTATGATTCTTATAACAGTCTTCTATGAAGGCATAGGGCATAACATTAAATCATAACCCAGTAAAGGCATTTCTATAAAGAACTGACATAAGGTTCAATTATGTTGCTTTCAGGGGCAGCTGGGTGACTCAGTAGATAGGTAGAGTGCCAGACCTGTAGTCAAGAAGACTCATCTTCCTGAGTTCAAAATCTGGCCTCAGACACTTTCTATCTGTGTGACCCTGGGCAAGTCACTTAACCCTGTTTGCCCCAGTTCCTCATCTATAAAATGAGCTGGAGAAGAAAATGGCAAACCACTCCAATATCTTTGCCAAGAAAACCCCAAACAGGGTTGACAAGAGTTGGATATGACTGCAATAACCAAAGAGCAAATGTTACTTGTTGCTGATCTACATTAATAAGGGAATAATACAACTTAACAGAATCTAGTGGTGTGTGTGTTGGGGAAGAGGAAGCTACTAATTTCCTTGGGCTTATTTGAGCAGACTTCATAGAATATATACAAGTAAACAGTTAACTATCATGATCTGGATAGCATGCTCAATCAAATATTCTAATTAATTAAGACCTACTATAATCATACTATAACCATAATTTAAGAACCAGAAGAAAATGCAATATGAGTAATAGAAACTACAATCAGTCTAATACAGTTTTTCTTTGATGACTCAAAAGTCTTCTCATTCTACCAATAAAAACTTTACAACCAGAAATAAGAACTATAAATTTTGGAATCTGCAAGAGTGAAAGGCTATTTATTTATTGTAAAATAATAGCTTCCTGGTACAAATACTTTTGTTTTAAAAAAACTGAACATCCTAACAAAAATGAGTAACTCATGGCCTACCTTGACCTAGATTCAATCTTGGGAGCTGGTGCCCTAAATCATTCTCTTTTTAACTCACTTTGCACCGCCCCCACCCAGAGTTTGCTTGGGGAAAATCTCAATTGAGTTCCTGTCTAGATATCTTTAGATGCCGGTAAAAGAGTTCCAAACTCCCACATAAATATTCAAAGTAATAATGCGTAATCACATAATAAGAGGTATAGGACAGACTTTATTCTAACCCACAGAAAATGAATAAAAAACATAAATGATTCATAATAACCTAAAAAACAATTGATACCATTCTCTTCCTTCTCTGGTTACATTTTCAGAATTCAATTCAGAAAGAAATTGCAACTAAAAAATAGGAAAAAAAACACACTATTCTTTTCCCTATGGAAAAGGGTGATATGAGACCCCATTTTAAAGCTCAAAAGTCAGCTGTTAGAATACTGAAAATGGAAAATAGATTTTACTTGTTGCAACTTTGCAACTACAGTCACAGACAGGTTTTACTTCCACAGTGATGCTACGGAGTAGAGTTACAATTAACAGGATGCCACATAATAAGTATATTATCCTGCATATTAATTTATACAGGAAAGAATATGTTTCTTTATTATGAAGAAATAGACTTCACTAGAAGGACTTTTTAAAGAAATATACTCTGAATCAGTTTATGCTGTCCTACTGACGGGTTATTTGTTAAAGGTATTTTTGCTGATCTTTTGGCTTCCTCTTTTATAAATAATGTAAACATCATGGGAGGAGAACTGTGGGAGCTGGCTACAACCCAAGACTTGATGACTGGTCTCAATCATTTATAAAGCTCAAGAGAGAGGTTGGAAGGGAAAACTAAGAAGAAAAATGTTGATATTTTGTTAAAATTGCAGAACTTGAAAATATTGATGGTTAAAAAAAAAAAGTAAGTGAAGGAGACTTGGAAAAACATCACCAACATGCATCAGCCTTACCCTCACCCTTTGAAAATTTAAATTTTTAGTGCTCACCATGTCTTTACATATCAGAGTTCCTTTTTGTCTCTCTATTCTTATCTACTCCCTTACCTCTCCACCATATTGATCTTGTGCTGTTCTAAAATTTTTAGATTGAATAATAATAACTCACATTTATATAGCACTTTAAGGTTTACAAAATAATTTCTTCAAAAAACGCAGTTTGGCAGCTGCAAAAGAGGGGAGAAGGAGGGTTTACTATGTCCGTCCTACTTGATCATCAAGACAAATGCACCCAAATGAATTGTAAGTCTACTCTCTAGATTCATGTCATTAAGTATCTTGAAAGCGACCAAAACGGGCTAAGTAACTAACAGCCAGGGGCAGATAATACAGAGCACATGGATGGATATGGTAACAGTGCTGTTAGATGTTCTGACCGCTCATGTTCCAAAGGTTTTAGAAACAATTACAGAAAGGGTTTTAAACATTTCAAAGGTTACCTTAGTGATGACGACCTTCTGCTGTGATCTCCAAAACCTCACCAACCTCTCACAGAGATACAGGAACATGGGACCCACAATCCATTTCCAAGTCTGTTAACAGAGCAAAGACCAGGATGGGAGTGAGACACATAGAGATTATAATTGGATTGAGAAGATTTAGATTGTATTTATCAACAAGGAAACCCTGGTAGTCTAATAGTTTTGCAAAGCACTTTACAAGTATTATCTCGTTTGAGCCTCACGAAAACTCTGGGAGGTAGGTACTACTATTACCCCCATTTTGCATATGAGGAAACTGAGTCAGACAGAGGTTAAGTGATTTGCCCAGTTTCACACAGCTAGGAAGTATTTAAGGCAGGATTTGAATTCAGGTCTTCCTAACTTCAGGCTGTTGTTATTGTTGAGTCATTTTTCAGTCATGTTTGACTTTTTGATCCCTTTTGGGGTTTTCTTGGCAAAGATTCTAGAGTAATTTGCTACTTCCTTTTCTAGGAAACTGAGGCAAACAGGATTAAGTGAATTGCCCAGGGTCACACCGCTAGTAAGTGTCTGAGGCTGGATTTGAACTCAGGTCTTCCTGACACTATTCACTATACCACCTAGCTGACATTCTAACTCCACAAGTACTTTATTCTCTAAGTCACCTAGTAACCATCTCCATTGCATTACCTAGCTTCCTAAATCAATGAATCCTTGATTACTGTTCACATATCCTGAATCACTATATGATTTGACTGAGACAGTCTGCATTTAAAATGAGTGTTTTCCCAACCTAAACTGAGGAATTCCATCAATAACATGAAACTTTCCAAGCAGAACTCTGTAGGAAAGTGGGATTTCCTCTGTGTCACAACTGCAATTGCAACAACTATACTGGAAACTAGGTTGGTTACAGAAGGAGTATTTCCCTAAAGGGTAGCATTTCAACAACACCATATATTTAATGCAACATTACAGTTGCTTTACAATTGCCACAGAATCCATATTGTGATTGCAAGACTATAAATCTGATGCAATATTGGTAGCTGTTACCCTCATAACATGTAAGATTTGAGAACTCTGCAATATGCTTCTTTAATAGGGGCAAAGCCTGAGTAAGAATGACAGCTTCTTCTGACAGCACCAAGCACAGAGCCCTGATTAGAGTAAAAATTCAATAAAAAATATATTGCATTGGACTGAGTTGAATTCCCTTCAGCCTCTCTGGCTCAGGATACTCAGAGTAGCTCCTAAGATATTCTACCCTCAGTATCACTATTGACTAATGAATGGAATTCAGTATGAGGTAGGTTCATCCTGGACACCATCAAGAGGCTGAAATGGCAACAGATCTTTGTTAAAAGATGTTACCCAGACTCTAATGTGAAGGGAAAGGCACTGAATTTGGAGGTAGAAGACCTGGGTTGGAATTCTCACTCTGCTATGTATTTTCTGTGAGGTCATGAACAAGTCATATCTTCAATCTGAACCTCAATTTCCTCATGTATAAAATGAAGGCACTGGATTAGATTATATATACAGTCTCTTTTAGCTTTAAAATCTTATGATCCTCCATAAACAAGAAATCAAGAAATTAAATCAAGAAAAAAATAAATAAAAAATAAACCAAGGAAAATTTGAAATCAAGAAAAAACTTAGAATCTCAGGATTTGAGGTTTATTTGGTTTTGCTTTTTGGTTTAAATGGCTATGGAGCTAATTGCCTAGAAGAACAAGAAACTCCTGTAGAGAATTATTTCCTCACAATACATCCCAGAGAAGCTTTACTCCATATGTTTTCAGGAGACCGTGAGCTATTTACATCATAGAAATTGTAGGTGTAGTGAGACTTAGCATCAGCAGAAACGCCTGGCTCTGCCATTCAGTGGCAGGTTGTGCAGGCCTGCTCTATGTCCTTGGACCATTCACATCTCTGTGAGCCTTGGTAAAATAAGTCATTTATATTTAAAATGCCCATTTCCATTTAGGATTAGATAGCTTTTGAATAGCAGGCCAGGAAAATCTCCTTGCTACCCTTGGCCAAAACTTTATTATGGTAGGATTTCTACAAAGTGGGTTCCATCTATCCCTGATCATGTGATGAGAGAGAAAACAAGTCTATTTTTTTCTCTTTAAGATCCTCATAACACTGAAAGCTACCTCATAGAGCCTTTGGGCCTGGATCTTGTCATCAAGGAATTATGTCTTTCATCTCACATATGGATGACTACGAATTTTTCTTTTTCTTTTTCCTATTAATGTCTATGTGAGGTGTAGCTATTCATTCGTATTTGTGGGAGAGGCAGTTGGGTGGTGCAGTGGATAAAGCATTGGGCCTGGAACTGAGAAGATCTCAATTCAAATCTGGCTCCAGATTTATGAGACCCTGAGCAAGTCACTTAATCGGTATCCGCCTTTGTTTCCTCTTCTGTAAAATGGGGATAATGATAGCATCTATTTCATAGGATTGTTGTGGGCATCAGATGGCATAATATTTCTAAAGTGCTTATCACAGTGCCTGGCACATAGTAAGGGCACATAGTAGGTATTTAATAAGTGCTTGCTCCCTTCTCCTTTATATTTCTTTCTGATGGGAATATCAATTGGAAATGTTCAGATATCATAAGGATAGGGACTAGACCTCTGATTTCATTGGTGTAGGGATCTCCTGGGAAGAGCTCCTTTGACCAATGCAAGTCAGCATCTTCTCTGAAACTTAAGGGTTTAATAGAGGTGCCTAAAGGATCAAGAGATTGGTGATTTGCGTGGGGTCACACAATCTGTATATCACAGGTAGCTCTTGAATCCAGGACTTCCTGGCTTTGAGGTCAGGTCTCTATCCACTATACCATGTTGCCAAATCTCACAGGGACCATAAATCAATGCTCTTGCATCTCAGAATTGTCTGAGAAGGCCAACAGGGTTCCAAGGGATAAGAGGAGGGGAGAGAGGGATTAGGAAAGAGCCATAATTTTAGATTTTGCTTAGTCTGAGGAACAAGTGGCCAAGAAAATGATGTAAATCCATTCAGATGACATAAATTGCAGTACTTTTTCATTTTATGGTTAGCATAGGGGATCACCAAACATGGAAGAAAAACTTCAAAATTTAGTCAACATAGAATATGATTGATCATTGGTAGGATGTTATAAGGGGCTTTTGAGGCCATTGAGTTTAGCCTCCTCATTTTCTACAGAAGAATGAGGGCCAGAGAGGTGAAGGTGAAGAGCCAGCCAAGGCCATATAGCTAAGTTACACAGCCAGGTCTCAAACCCAGATTTCCCAACTCCAAGTTTCAATATGCTGCTTGCTGCTTGTGAAGTAGAATGGACCATTAAATATCCTTAAAATGAAGCTCTGGAAGGATTTATCTTGAGAAAGGCAAATGTGTCACCATCCTCCTCTTTATGGATACTCCCCATGTTTAGGGCCACTGTAGACTAGTGAAAATATGCCTTCATGGTCTTAGTCAAGGACTGGCCTGGTAGCCTTAGATGCAGGCTTCCCTGGCTTACCCAGCAACAGTCCTATGTTATACCTATTACCAGTCTCTTTCTCCTGATATAAAACTACAGAGGAAGTGATTGGTTCAGGATATCTTTAATTCTCTGCTCAAACTTGACGTAGAATTCTCTCAGTAGAGAATAAACCGGTGGAGTTTTCTCCCTTTGTAACCCTGTCAGATACGTTATTGTGACCCTGAGCTGGAAGGGCAGAATTGCACTTTTTAAAATAATGTTTTATTCAGGTATATAACATATTGGCTATTTGTTATTAGAAATATGTTTGCAAATCATGGATCTGGCATGGCAGCAGAGATTGCTTTTTGGTGTGTCAAATGCTTGTCTCTCTGGTCAGGTCTTTAGACAAAAAATGCTCTACCCTAAGTAAACTTCATTGCATCTGCTAGGAGCAATTCAGTTGCATGTACCCATATCCTCTGATGTATTCAACACTTCACTATAGATTGTCATTTTCAAGTGAAGACATTATCCCATGATGTCATCGGTTCTCTCAGAAAAAACCAAGGATGAACAATAAAAACAATAGATTGTCATCGATAAGATGGTAATGAAAACATAATATGTTATACCATAGGAGGGTTGCCAGCAAATTGAGGGAAGGGACAGTTTCCTTTAGTTCCCCAAAAGGTGATGTTTTTCCAGCATTTTTCTGGGACGTGAATCAACAAATCTGCATTTGTCTGTCCACGTACAATCCTCCTGTTGCGGGGTAGGGGTGAGGTGGGGAGGAGATATGGAAAGGAAAGGAGAAGAAAAATCAGATTAATTAGTAGAAAGAAAATGAATTTTGTTTTCAGTCATTTTGAATACATTTTAAAATTGATTGCTGTTCCTTTCTTTTCTAAGGGATATCTTTGATACTTTTTATATAACTTCAGAACCATGAAGTTTTGGTTAGCAAAATAACCAGATTCTGCAAAAGATGGATTGGCAAAAGAGAAAATAATACATGTACTCCATCAGTAATTGTTTAATGTGTTAAAATTGAATTTCAATCTTCATCAATAATAATCTCAATTATATGGCACTTTAAAATCTACAAAGTATGTCCCTCACAACCCTGAGATGTAGGTAGGATAAGTTTTAATAACTCTATTTTACACATATACATGTGTCCAGGGTATGTGATTTCATGAATGTAGGGAAAATTCCCACGATGAAAGTATTCACCAATAGAGATCCTAGTTATTGTTGTTCAGTTGTTTCACTTGTGTCTGATTCTTTGTGACTTTCTTTGGGGTTTTCTTGGCAAAGATACTGGAGTGGTTTCCCATTTCCTTCTCCATCTTATTTTACAGATGAGGAAACTAAGGCAAACAAGGTTAAGTGACTTGCCCTGGGTTACACAGCTAGTAAGTGTCTGAGGCTGGATTTGAGCTCAGGTCCTCTTGACTCCAGACCCAGCATTCTATCCACTGAACCACCCACCTGCCCCTATCTTAACTTATCTTTTATTTAGTGGATAAATGCTAGGGAATTGTTTGAGACATGTAGAGATTAAATGACATCCTCAGGTCACATAAATATTAAATGACATCTTCAGGTCACACAACCAATATCAGAGGTGGAATTTGAACCCAAGTTTTTCTTACTCCAAGCTCAGCATTCTATCCCTTGTACCAACCTGCCTTTATCCCCATTTTACAGATGAGAAAATTGAGATTCATAAAGGATAAGTCACTTGCCCATGATTATATTGCTAATCAGTATCAGAATCAGGACTCAAAATCATGTCCAGTGCTCTTCCTGGTATATTATAAATCAAGCTCACTTTATGACAACCCTACATCACAGCAGTAAACATACTGACCAATGCTGGCAACTCAACTGTCCTCTTACCATCCTTTACCATAAATATTTAAACCAATAATTCTCAGATACTCACTGGAGTTCTGTCGAGTTCATTACTCACCCAGCTCCATGGATGGCAAGACCAATGAAGAAGATAACAAAGAGGTGATGAGTGAACCAAAAAACTTCAAAGTAAGACCTCCGGATTGTTTTGGTAGAGGAGGTTATGATCAGTATGAGGCACAATGTAATAACAACTCCAGTGATTCCAGCTAAGTAAGTGAAAGCCACATACAGGGCACCTTCAGGATTCTATAAAATATAAAGAGAAAACTATGTGTGGTTGTGTGGTAGTGAAGGTAATGGAGAGGTAGCTGCAGATGAAAACTATCACCTGGGGGTGACCAAAGGTCCCATACTCCTGAGACTATTCTCTACTTTTTCTCCTTTTTAAGCTCTGTGATAAAAGAAAGGAAGGAAGGAAGAGAGAAAGAAAGGAAGGAAGGAAAGAAGGAAGGAAGGAAGGAAGAAGGAAGGAAGGAAGAAGAAAGGAAGGAAGGAAAAAAGAAAGAAAGAAGAAAAAAATAAGGAAGAGAGAAAGAGAAAAAAGAAAGGGATAGGGAGGAAAAAGGAAGGAGAGAGGGAGAGAAGGGGAGAAGAGGGAAAGTAAAACAGAGAAAGAGAAAATGAAAAAGAGAGAGAGAAAGGGAAGGAAGCAACAAAAGGAAGCACAAAATAAGAAAAAAGAAAAGAACGAAGGTAAAGAAAGAAAAAGGAGGGGAAAAGAGAAGAGAAAAGAAGAGAGAAGAGAAGAGAAAAAGTCTTCTGTAGCTAAGCTGTAATTCATTTTATCTTGAGTTTAACAATGAAAAAATGCACATTGGGAGCTGCTCTGAAGGCAGTGGCTGCTCTTCCTTCTTTCCATGCATCTCGACTTGAAACAAAGAGCTACAGTTTGATTTTTCATATGTATTTTGGTCAATTCTCTTTTGGAGAGGTAACCTCAAGAACAGGCCCTTCTAATTATACAGATTTGAGCCTTATACCCCTAACAGATTCTAAGAGGGTAATGACTTATCCCTGCCCACCTCACCACCCTACCCTCTAAAGGAGTTAATATAACACAGAATCTGTTATTTTTAATGAATGCATGCATAAATGAATAAATAAATGAATGAAGGAGTGTAGGAAAGAAGAGCCTTCTTTTAGACCCTGGATTGTCTCAGCCCAGCTGCACCTACAAGAATTGTTTAATATGTAGGGGTTTTGGGGGGGTTGTGTGTTTTGTTGGGGTTTTTTGCATAATAATGGGAAGCAAACAAACAAAAAAGAGCAAAGCAATCTTTTTCTATTACATGAAAACCAGCAAGTAAAAAGGCTAGCTCAAGACGCTTTGAGTTGGGGAGTAATTTGTGTTCTTTCCTGCTCTGAATCATTTGACCTCTAAAATGATCATGTATGACAGCCTGAACAGTGCATAGGTGCAGCCACATAAGAAATTGCCTCCTCTGACCACAGAAGGGCACCTCTTTTGTCTCCCCCTCCCACCACTAGCCATATACACTCCCCACCAGTAGCCATTTAACCTACAAAGGTCTCTCATCCCTCTGAGTCTTTACCACATTCCACTCTTGCTCTGTAGGTAAGAAACACTGAGACTTTTTTTTTTCTGGCCAGAGTACTACATATTCTGGGACCCACTACTCAGTACTAATCAACTAGGCTCCTAAACATTGCTCAGGACAAAAGGGTGCTTACCTTATATGACTTTGAAACAAAATTAACGTAAGTTTGGCCAAGAGATGGGTTATCTTCAAGCTCAGAGAGGGCAATTGAATAATTATCAGAGTGAGTTTTGGACTTCGCATTCACCAACCACTCCACATTAAAGAGATGAGCAACGGTATGAATTGCTGAGGATGTCAGAAGAAAAGAGAAAGATATAGAAAAATAAAAAACAGAAACAACGGAGTGAATATTTTGCAAATTCCTGTTAGGATAGATACTCAAGAAGTAACCCTTGACTATATCATATGGAGAGTGGCTGGCATGTTAGGGGTGGCAAGGGGAAGGATCTCTAGAGATCCTCTACAGAGAGGCAGCATGGTATAAGGGAAAGAGCACTACTAGACTGTGAGTAAGAAGATAGTCTATTCAGGCTTAGCTACTAATTGTGTGGCCTTGGGTATGTCATTCAAACCCCAGCCTCCGTTTTCTCACCTGTAAAATGGAGGGAAAGGAGCAAGGAGTTGGGTTAAATCGTCTCTGATTTTCACTCGGTCTCTAAATCTATACTTCTAAGATCCTATGAATTCAACAGATCCTTCCAGCTCTATCATGCTTGGTTTCTGAAAGCAATTAGCTATGTCTCCAACTCTCTCATCTTCCTTGGTCAGTCAAATAGGACTTCTAGAGGCCTAAGATTAGACCTTCCCTAGGGAGACATTCCTTCTTAAAAGTGAAAATTTTTCAAAAGTTGAAAGAATGGCAATCTGATGACAGAATAGTAGGAAGTATGTTGAATATTTTAAGGAAAGGAACACTATGGATAATCCTCTTAGATCTGGCATTACCTATGAAAACTGTCCCTACCTGAAAGACTAACCAAATATTTTTAAGAATGTGGAAAACCTCTATTCTCCCATTTTCATAAAGTGTAAAGTTAAAAGATTCTCAAAAATCTCACCAGTGTGAAGAGCAATCATCCATGCCACCATTTTATGAAAGGTCAGGTTCCGGTCCAATTGTCTCCGTATACGTGTTGAACAGCACTAAAACCAAGAAAGAAAAAATCAACAGAGATTTCAAGCAGTGATATAGAATATCACCCAGGGAACTCAAGATGTATCTATCTATTCTATTCTATCTATCTGTCTATCTATCTATCTATCTATTTCACTAGCTGAGATTAAAATGTGATTCTGAATATTTCATACTAGTATTTTGAATTTTTCACGTCACATGTAATTGAATTGACATTTGACATTAAATTGTTTTATGATAAATTTAATTACTGAGGTGCCCAGATACCTCCTCACTGTCTGTGACACAATTGGAGGATTACTCTTAATCTGTTATTAAAATTTCCATTAGGGTTTAAGGACCTTTACTTTCGTTGTTCTGTCACCACAACCTTGAGTAATATATAAACACAAATGATAAATGTAGTTGTTGCTTCTACATTTCCTTTTTCATCTATATGGAGACCCTAAAGACTGGAGAACCTTCCAAGAAGGGAGAAGTGTAGACCAGAACTTGTGAAACCCACCACCAGCAACAAAATTGCTCAACTCTCTAGGACCAAGAAAGAATAGCAGAACCTGCCCAAGTGTGGTCTGGGCCAGGAAGCTACGCCATAGGATAAGGGTGCCATTTCTGTGATATACCATCATCTTTCTGTTACTGCTTTCCTTTTCTAGCCATTATGATTCAGATTTCTATAAGAAAGAAGTGAGCAATAAGTAAGTGCCTGGAGCATGTGGGATGGGAAAAATGGTTGGGGAAGATGTAGAAGGAAGGAAACAAGTATTGATCAAGTGCCTGCTAGATGCTATTCACTGGGCTAAGTACTTTGCAAATATTATGTTAGTTGATCCCCACAACAACCTTGGGAAGTAAGTACTATCATTATCTCTGTTTTACAGTTGAGGAAACTGAGTCTCAAGACGGAGGTTAAGTGACTTGCTCAGAGTCATGTAGCTAATAAGTATCTGAGGCTGGATTTGAACTTAGGTCTTCCTGATTCTAGGCCCAGTGTGCTATTTACTGGGCTACCAACTGCTTCTAGCTGTGGCTAGACAAATCTATGTGAAAAAAAAAAATTCTAGAGATTTTAGGAGGCAGTAAACTTACTATGAGTCAATAGTACGTCAAGATAGGCAAAAACAGCTATGGAAAGCTTAGGCTGTATTGTGAGTATTAGAGTGTCCAGCTGTAGATACCACATATGAGGAAGGAATCTGACAAACTGGAGTATATCTAGCAGCACTTTTTAAACTGTGAGTTGCAACCCTATATGGGGTCATGAAAAATTTGGCAACAGTAAAAGGTTTCTGAATGCACAAAGACCAAAAATTAGTTAAAAATAAAACACATAATGAATCCATGGTTTTTCTGGCAGTGCTTGCCTGTATCACAGTGAACAACTTCACTGCAGCCTTGGTTCTGGAAGCGTGCGCACTTTGCACTGCATACACCCTCAGGCCACGAAACACCAGCAATGCTGCCAAAACTTGAAAAGAGGTCTAGAGTGAAAAACAGTTTAAGAAACCCTGATCTAGAGCAGTTCTACCAAGGTATTGAAGGGATTGGAGGCTATGATCTAGGGCTACCAGAATACTTTTTCTGAAGAAGCACCTTGGGGTAGGGGGAGGGGAGTGGGATTGTGATAACTATGTTCAGGTATTGTAAGAGCTGTCATGTGAAAGGGAGATTCAACTTGTTCCATTTGGCTGGCCCCAAAGGGCAGAATCAGGAAAGAAGCAGATTTAGGTTTGATGTAAGGAAACATTTCCTTTCAATTAAAGCAACTAAAACATAGAATGCCTGCCTCTGGAGGTCATGAGTTCCCTTTCTTTGTAGGTTTTCAAGAGAAGGCTTGACAACTTGTTGTTGAGTCAATGATTTGATTCAATTCAACAGCATGGCACCAGAGGCCTAGCAGGAGCTGGTCTTCTGCCTGTGAGGACCTAAGACACAACGGATGCCTGGTGCCCACCTTTATCCCTTCTCTGTGATTCACACAGGTCATCTCCACCTGATTGTCCCATTGTAATCTCAAACTCAGTATGTTTCCAATTGAATTCATAGTCTTCTCAAAATGATCCCTCTTCAAAACTTACTCATTTCTGTTGATGGTACCACCATCTTCTTAGTCATTTATATTCAAAACTTTAGAATCACTTTAGACTTTACTGTTTCTGTTATTCCCTGGTTGCCAAGTTCTGTCAATTCTCTTCTTTCCCCAACATCTACTAAGTTTGTCCCCTTCTCTCCATCCACTCATCATTCAAACTATCTGTCTAAGCTATTTCAGCAGTCCCAAACTGGAAACTAAGAAGTATCTACCTATTGGAAAATGACTAAGTAAACTATAGTATACCACAATGCTACAAGAAATAATAAAATAGACAGTTTCAGAAGAAACTGGGAAAACCTCCATAAATTGAGGCAGTGAAGTGATCAGAGATAAAACAATTTACATGATGACAACATAATAGAGAAAACCAATTTTGAAAGACTTCAGAACTCAGACTAATGCAATGATAAACCATGAGTCCAGAGGCCTGAAGATGAATCATGCCACCTACCTCCTGCCAATGAGACAATGATCTTAAAATATATAATGAGACAAACATTTTTGAACATGGCCAATGTGGGAATTTGTTTTCCTAGGAAATGCATGTTTGTTATGAGTTTTTATTACTGTTGTTCAATTAGAGAGGGTACATAGAATGGATGGAGAAATAATAAATGCTTGCAAAAATAAAGAAAACAATTTGAGACAAAAAAAAAATCTTGCTAAGGAAAAAGCAAGCAGTATTATTGCCCAGTCTAAAAGCTTTCAGTAGGTGGAGGGGGTAAAGAGTTTGGAAAGTGGTAACTCCTTATTAAAGGGGGTTGAAGGACAGTGACTCATATTATTACTAGGACAAAATATAGTCTTGCTAACCCAGAACTTAAGGTCTTTCACAATTGAGCACCAACCTAAAATTCCAACTTCATTTCATGCAACTCCTCTTCATACAGTCTACATTCTAGCCAAAATGATCTGTTAACTCTTCCTTGAACTTGGCAAACCAAGCCCTATCTCTCTATATTTTTTGCAAGCTATATGCCATAGATGACTCAGCTCTGCCTTTCAGAGACCATATTTGAGATCATATTTGCAAAACATTTGGTACAGTGCCTGCCACATAGTAAGTGCTTAATAAATGCTTATTCTTTTATCCTCCTTGCCTTCCTTCAAGATACAGTTCTTAAGCTATGACTTCTGCAGTCATCCCTCATCTTCCCAGCTGAAAGTGGTCTTTCCCTCCAGAAATATTTTTAGAGCACCTCATCTGGACCTTTCCTTAGTTCATTGAGTAAGTAGGTTGGGACAGTGCATAGAGCATTGAGCTTGGAGTCAGAAAGACCTGACTTTTATTCCTGCCTCTCATATTGACTAACTGTGTGACCCTGGACAAGTCACTAAACTTCAGTTTCTTCCTCTTTAAAAATGGGGAAATAGGATTTACTTTGAACAGTTGTGAAGGAACAAAAGAGAAAATATGTCAAGGGCTTTGCAAACCTTAAAGCAGTATGTATGTGAGAGCTGTTATTATTATCTCATGATTCTTGCACACACACTTGCATTCACAGCACAATAACTTCCTCCCCTCCCCTGGTTTCATCTGGTAGAATGCAAGTTCCTCAAGGTTGAGATTGTGTTATTTATGTCATTATAGGTTCGTTGAATGGATTTGAATGTTTCATTCAGACATGATCAAAAGATATGAAAAGCAGTACATTATAGCAGACAGAGAGCCAGCTTCAGAGTCTGGAAGCCCTGGGTTTAAGTCCTACTCCTCAGTCAACTGGTTGTATAGCCCTGGGCAATTCATATAACTTCTCAATGCCCATGGGCAACTTTTTAAGGCTATAAATTGTATAGCAGTTGCTGATATACTATGATAGAGGGAGTTTCCTCACCAGGAATTCCCATATGAATGAAATAATAATAGATACGGTAAAAAGTGAGTAAATGTTTTCTCAAACATTACCCATACAAAACATATATAAAATATATTTACAGATAGAAATATAATATGTAATGATATTTCAATGTGTCAATATCATACATATACATACATATACACACATATGTATATGTGTGTATATCTATCTATCTATCTATCTATCTATCTATCTATCTATCTATCTATCTATCTATCTATCTAACTATTGTTCCCTAGCTAACAGCCACCACACTCTTTCCTCTTCTTTTCTTCAGGTCAATTTCTCACCTAACTGAAGAGTTTTCAAAAATGGTGATATCTCCTTGCTAGATTTAAAGAAAAATAATTATGTTCTATCATGGATCTGTAGTATTTCTATTGTCTTACCCACACTACCTCCATCATCATTGGCAAATATCATTGTCCTTATCATTTTTTTCTGGTGACAGATGGTTTATTTGGAGGAAATTATAATTTGGCACAAATTAATTATATGCCATATATTTTCATGATCAAAGTTATGAGACTGTTCATGGAAAAGAATCAATTTAAGACATAGGATGCATAAGCTAAAATATACACATAGGGAAGAATGAGAACCAAATGGTTTTTCTCATTATTTAATGACCTTTGGATAGATTTCAAGGAATATTGATAATGTTCAAAATTTTTAAATGAAAAAACTAATAAAGTTCATTAAAATATTTATGCTACACTTATACTATATATATACTACTATTTATACTAAGCTGCACTCCTGTATTTACATAAACACAACAGTTCTAAATGTAATGCATCATCCCAGGTTTGTTAAATGTCTAGTACATATAACATAGAATAAATAAAATTTGAATTACTTATCATAGATCCTGACTCCTGACATCTCAAAAATTAGTTACGAAAAACCCAGCTCGAACAAGCAGTTCATAACACACAGAAACATACACCAAGCAAATTTATAGGTTTTATGATCTTTGGGCTTTCCATGATAATGAACCCCACAGTCTTTCATTGAAGAAAAAAATTCTAAGGTTTGGTGGGGAGTTTAAAACACATATGGTGTTGAAAGTCATCAGAGAGTTGCTTTCAGTGTCTGGTCTAAAATACTAAATGATATGTCTGGACATTTAAATGGCACAGATGGGGAATTCCATTTGAAGTCCTACTCTGGTAAACTCTTGAAAAAAGAGATGACCCTGAGTTTTCTGAGGGATATACAAGTAGAACAGAAACCCAGGAAGGTCCTACAAAGTGGAAAAGTCTTTGAGGACAGGCCTGGAAAAGGGTGAGTCTAAAAATAGTCATGCTGAGCAAGGATGACCTTGTTAACCAAAGGTTGGCCACTAGATTATTTCTTTCCCCCCAGAACCTCATGAAACTTCCTGAGTAGTGAATACTGAATAGTGTGGAAGGGGTTCAACGTGCATTGCTGGATGGAGGATACACAGTGATAAAATAAGAGATCTTTTGAAGCCTTCTGGTGTGTAAGGGCAATACATAACAACATCAACAATAATAATAACTATCATTTATATAGCACCTACTATGTGCCAGGCACTATGCTAAGTGCTTTACAAATATTATCTCACCTGAGTCTATATGGATTCAAGATGTTGAAAAATAAACTGTTAAGTAGATAATACATTAGATTTATAAAAAAAAGTAACCAATATTCAGTAATAAGTCAGAGCAACTGGCCTGGCACTCATGTATTCTCTGTGCCCCATTTGGTGTTGTTGGAGGCCAAAAAATCCAAAGAAAGGTCACTGGATATACTGGTTATGAGAAACACATTCCCTTGGGGACATAGCTTCTTCCCTCCATCACTAAAGAGGGAGTGAAAGAACTTTTTGTAAGTCAGTCAGTCAGTTAACAAGCATTTATTAAGCACCTGCTATGTGCCAGGCCCTGTGCTAAGTTCTAGGGAAACAAAGGCAAAAAAAAAAAGTCTCTACTCTCAAGGAGTTCAAAGTTTAATGGGGGAAATACATACTGGCTTCAATTGTGTCTTCACACTGCTCACAGCAGGGCTCCATATCAGCACCATTTCTGCCTGGAGTACTAGGGAGATAACTAGATGAAAAGTCAGAAATCTTGAGTTCAGGTCAACTTCTCCTAATCAGTCAGAGCAGCTGGCCTCCAATTCTCCCTCTTACACCCTGCTCCAAAGCACAGTGCCCAGAGCACTGCCCCTCCTTATCTTGTGGTGAGGTTGCCTTTGAGCCCCCAATTATAGGATCTTAGGATTGGGAAGGACTTAGAGTGATCCAGGAGTCCAGCCTCCTTCATTTAATGCAATTTTTGTTACCCCATCTTTCAAAGGGGGAAACTGAGGCTCAGGTAGATTATAGTACTTTGCCAAGGTCATATATCTAGTTATCAGCAGAGCCAGGCCTAGAACAGGGTTCAGACTCCTAGGCTAATGTTCACTTCGTGACACCATGCTCCTATCAGTGTCGTAGTCGATGTAGAGGCAGCCTCAAAGCCAGGAAGACCTGGGTTCAAAGGCTGCCTCGGACACATACTGGCTGTGTGATCCTGGACACACAGTGATTCTCAGTGCTCTGGACAACACGACTATTAATTGCTGGAAAGATGCCACCCTATATTGATAGAGTTTCCTTCCTTGGGAATTTCACAGGTCCGGAGCTCTCTCGCTGTTTCTATCTCTGTCTGTGTCTCTCCCTCTCCCTATGCTTCTCTCTCCTTCCCTCACTCTTGATTACAATGAAGATCATGATGATACCTACCATCACAAATAGATTGCTAACGAGAGATAACAGCCTGACTGCAATGCACTGGGATTGCAAATTAGTTCCATGGGGTAATAGAGATTTCTTCATGGACTACCCTGATGAAAACGTTGTCTGTTTCTCATTATTCACTTCCTCTACCATAGATTATCAGAAGAGAGAGAAAATAAGGGGGGAGGGGCTAGGGGTGGGGGGAGGAATACCAGGAAGGAGAATGCATCTTTAAAGAGGAGCTTGAGCAGGGGTGTGCTCCAATGGGTTTTTGGGAAGTCAATTGCTAAATTTTCAGTGTAAACATTTATATCTCATAAATCAACAAACCTACAAATTAGGGCTTGATTTATTGTTTTGTTGACTGTCTAGACTGATTGCATCAAGCTAAAATAGAAAAGGGGGTCACTAACCCATCCAGAAGAATCTGTGCCTGATATACATATTGACAGTTTTTAAAATGTAATATTATCTATGTTTTATTGAATTTTTACTTATCTTGTTAAATATTTCCCAATTCTATTTTATTCTGGTTATTCAGGAGTCTTGTGGGCCATGAGTTGTGAGAAGATTACGATCAATTCTGTATCATTCTCTTATTGATCCTGTTTATAAGTAATTGATTTTGTCCTGTAACTGATTTTGTCCTGTAACTCCTTAAGAGTCATGGTCCTTCATTATTAGGCTCCTCATGAGTTCAACTTTCAACCAATCCATGGTGATTCCATGACTTTTCCTCAGGCTGAGATGAAACCTCGCAGATACTTACTACAGATATAGTTAGTGATATGTAAACTGCACCCAGTTATATAATAAGGATGTGTTAAGTTCCTCCTTTGTCCAAACTGCTGGGCCCAGAGTGAATGATTGATTCTGAGTTTAAAAAGTCATACTTGCTAATGTGTGGCTTACTCATCACAAACAAGAAGTTGATCACGACATCAACCAGAAAAACTTCATAAATTTTCTTAAAGCATCTCAAATTCCTCAACGTTCTTCCTTCCGGGGGAAGTTGAAGAGGAGGGTCTGATGAATGGTGAAGGAAATGAGTAACATGGCCATTTTCTCTTCTACTTCATAGTTTATAAAAACTGCCTAGCAAATAACCCAAATTAAGATAAGAATCTCTGTTAGGTTTTACATCCTAAATATGGAAACTGAATTGGACCCTAATAAAGATGAAAAAGTTAAAACATGGAATCCTATAGGTCTTAAAAAAAAACAAGCCTTTCTCAAGTCTTTCTACTTTTGGGGAAAAAAAGAAATACAGATATGTGTGTATGTATGTATGTATGTATGTACATATATATATATATTTAGATAGATAGAGAGATAGATAGATAGATAGATAGATAGATGAACGGATGTGTATTCCCTATTTTCTACTCACACTACCACCACCCTGATACAGTCTCATCACCTCATGCCTGGACTGTTGCAATAGCTGGTGACCCACCGCTAGCCTCATGTCGACACCATTCCAATCTGTCCACTACTCAGCTGCCACCATGATCTCTGTAAAGCTCAGGCCTGATCAGCTTTCTACCAGTCCCCCACTTCCAATAAATTTCAGAGCTTTCCTATGACCTCCAGTGAGGATCAAATATAAAATTTGGTTTTAGTATTTAAAAATTTATTATTTAAAGCCCTCCACAATCTGGCTTCTTCCTACCTTCCCACTCTTCTAACCCCTCATTTCTCTCCATATACTCTGTGATCCAGCGACACTAGATGTTCATGATGTTCCTTACATTCTATTACACCCCAACTCTAGACTCTGTGCCTTTTCATGGGTTGTCCCCATGTTTCCCCTCCACTGACTTCCTTCAAGACTGAGCTCAAATCCTGGCTTCTTCAGGAAGCCTTTCCCAGGCTTCCAGTCTGCTAGTGCCTTCATTCTGAGAGTAACTTCAGTTTTACACTATATTCTCTCTGTGTATATACACTTATGTATGTATACATATATATGATGTGTACGTGTATTTGCATATATGCACATATTAATATGTCTGTGAACATATGCGTGTATGTATGTATATCTGTCTATATGTATAGCTAGCTAGCCAGCTAGTCTAATTTTTAACCCATTAGAATGTCAGCCCCCTGAGGGCAGGAACCATGTTTTTGCTCATTGACTGACTGACTGAGGACACTTGTTTGGCTTGCTCCTAGGAAAGAGCAATGGGCCATTAAATATGAGAATCTGAAAATGTGAAGAATGCAATGGATTCCTTTCTGGCACAAGAGCAGCTCAGATACAACAAATGGCTTTTCTTTATCTTACCGCACTAGAGCCTCTGAGGAAGGAGAGCAGGTTTCGACAGACAGGCAACAGGATCAGCATGCAGTTGAAATTCAGGCAAGCAGCAGGGGCTCTTGCTAAGTTCAGGGCAGGCTAGAATCCAATGCAAGAGGGGTGGAGTGAATTTTAGTCATTTTTTTTTCTTTTTTAAAGCATAAATGTTGAGTTTTGAGAATGGGTATCCAAAGGTCCTGAACCAATGGCAATTTAGTTCAGGATTGGTCTTTTGAGTATGAAGCGGTGCCTTTTTAAAGGCCCTATGCTTGTTTAGGCTAACTCAGACTAAATTCTTATTAATCAGGCTAGGAACCTTTCCTTGGAGTTACCCAGAGTCTTCTGGGCTTTGTCTTATGATTGTAACCACTGAAAGAACCACAGGACCTGGGAGGGAGAGGGCAGGGAGCAGCGGGACTGGAAAGAAGTCTCCCTGAGTACAATAGTCTTCCCTGAACCACCATTTTGTTCAACAGGAAATTCTGTTGGCAGTTCATGAACACCTTCTTCAAGAGAAGAGGAATAATTTCTATTTCTAATGAAGAGAAGACCCAGAAGTTAAAATATAATTCTGAGCTCTGTTTCCCCTTTTCCCCAGTTCCTAAGCTCCATCTTAGCCTGTTTATTTGGGTATGATCATTTAGATAGTTCCCCAAAGTCTTCAAGAGGAGAGAGGGGAAAAAACATTTTTTTGAAAAGAAGAAATGATGCCTGGGAGCAGGTATCCCATACATAAAAATCATGTGCAATCACTTACAGGATGGGATTTGACGAACTTCCAAAAGCCCACCTCCCTCAAAATGAATCTTCTATTGGCTTTCCATGGCAAAGATCTTCCTTCCTACCTGACCTGAGATTTTAATTCAGCAACAAACATAGATCCATGTCTATAGAAGACCACTATTAAATTGCCCTTGTGTTTCTTGGGAAGGCGTTGGCAGCCTTGACTTCCTCATCTGCCATTGCTAATCTGTCACATTAACTAATTGTAACTTTGGAAGGTTACAGAGAGTCATGGAACATGACAGTGAGAAGTTCTGGGTCTTGGTCATGGGAAGAAAGGAAAGAAGGGGACCCTGGAAAGTAAGAATTTATTTATTTATTTATTTGTGAGAGAAAAGGAAAGGGAGGGACTGAAGGGGAAGGTGACAGCAATAAGGGGAATACTGAAGGCAAACTCATCAACCTCACTTTTGCCCCAGCCCAGGCATGCCCCAGACCCAAAGGGATCTATTAATATGTCAATAGTATATAATAAGATTTATTATTCTTATTTTTATATCATCATTAAATTCATCATTATTATTCAAACACTTGACTATTGCTATTTGCTAAGTCATATAAAGGTTACTTTCAGTACACAGAAAAGTCTTCCCAAGAGGAAACATATCTGCTAAGGCTCATTTTTTAAAAATGCAAAAGGCAGCACACTCTATATAATTATTATAACTCCTGTATATTATATTAAAGCAGAGATTCTTGACCTGAGATCATTAAAACATTTTTTTGATAATTGACTTTAAATATAATTGGTTTCATTTTTTATTCTTTTGTATTTTGTTATGCATTTAAAAGCATTATGTTGAAGAGGGGTCTATAGGCTGCATGAGATTGCTAAAAGGGACTGTGATACAAAAATGCTAAGAAACCCTATATTAAAAAATTTCATTTCTCAGAGTAGAAGAAGATGGTTAAGGAAAAATTAAAAGGGATATTGAAAAATGACTATAACATGAGAATTTTGACTGCAGGAAGGCTTTATACTTACCCCAAGAAGCTTACGTGTATAAAAAAATCTTCTATGGTCATAAACTTGGTAGTACCACACAAAGAGGAAGGCGTTTAAGCCTAGCCACACAAGCTGCACAGAACAGAGAATTTTGTAAAACAATGTCTTCACATGCATTACAGTAGGTAGATACCATGAAGAATTTCATTTCCCCCTATGACCATTGCCTGTCAACTTCTGATCAGGATCCCCAGGGAGTGGGCAGCTAAAGTAGCATAAGCTCTCTCCTGGAACTGCACCAAGATTACTAAAACACAGTACATCCCGATGCAAACCTCTTGGTCTCTTTGAGCCTTAATTTCCTCAGTTGATGGTACAGTGGATAGAGGACCTAGGGTGAGGAAGACCTACCTCAGGTTCAAATCCCTTCTCAGACACTAGCTGTGTGACCGTGGGAAAGCCACTTAACTTCAATTTGCCTCGGTTTCCTCAACTGTGAATGGGGATAATAATAGTGCCTACCTCATGGAGTTGTTATGAGGATCAAATGAGATATTTGTAAAATGCTTAGCACAATGACTGTTTCTTTCCTTCTTTCCCATTTATAAAATAGGATTACTCAAACTTGTGCCACCTATTTCACAGGGCTGTTCTGAAAGCAAAAATAAAATGCAAAGCATTTTGTAAATTGTAAAGCACTACATAGGGGACAGCTAGATGGCCCAGAGGATGGAGTACCAGGCCTGGAGTCAGGAAGATTCATGTCCCTGAGTTCAAATCTGGCCTCAGACACTTACTAATTGTGTGACCCTGGGCAAGTCACTTAACCCTGTTTGCCTCAATGTCCTCATCTGTAAAATGAAGGAAATGGCAAACCATTCCAGTATCTTTGCCAAGAAAATCCCATATGGGGTTACAAAGAGTTGGACATGACTGAAAAATGACTGAACAACAATAATAAAAGCACTATGTGAAGGTAACTCATCTCTTCCTTCTCCTTGTTCTCTTTCTCCTTATCTTTCTCTTCCTTCTCCTTAACTACCAAGGGCACCCATTTTGCTCACTCACTTTCCTATTCTACTCCTATGTCACTCTTCCTGATTACCTATTGTCATTTTAATTGTGCTTATCCAATTTTCCTTATTGCTGAAATATATAAAATAATATAAATATAGATTAAGAAAAATATAATTTTTATTAATTTATTTTGCTTTATCAACAATTACTTCCATAAACTTTTGAGTTTTAAATTTTTCTCCCCCTCCCTCCCTACTTCCCTCCCCAAGACAGCATGCAATCTAATGTATGCTATACATATACATTTCTATTAAATGTATAGAAAAATATAATTATAAAAAATATAAATAAAAATAATATAAAATATATATATATATATATATCTTTTTTTCTAACTTTTTTTCCCTTTACTTCTTTTTTCCAGGCTCTGACCTTAGATAAGTATTTATAAGAAAACTTTTAAGATTAAGTTAATTTTTTTTTAAAAGATACCACTCTAAGGCTGTTGTCTTGTCCAGGGGGCAGATCTTACACTAGAGAAATCGGGTCTGGCCCAAGAAGTTCATGAAGAAAAGAGAGAAAAGAAAGAGAAACTGTTTCATCTTCTCACTCAAGGTCCCATAGGCTTTTCCCACATGCTGCATTTACTTTTTGAAGAGGAGAAGTAGAGAGCATGGACAGTCTCCAGGGTTCTCAGTGGGAAAGGGAATGGTGACCAGTCTTGGGATAAAAATATGAAAAGCTCTTCTGGGTGAGGATAAGGATCAGCCCAGAATTGACCCAGCCTTCGGGGGTCCTTTACTTCTGATTCCCTCAGGTGTTCACACTCAGCTGTGGTTGCCACAGATCTGCTCTGCTCTGCTCTGCCTTTAAGCGGTCAAGGCCATAAAAAAAATAGAAGACTAAGAGGCCATAAAAACCAAAAGACTATAAAAAACTTGTCTTTTTTACATTTAAAAACAAAACAAAAACAAGAGCTACTTCTCTTTTTCCCATATCAATCTTTTTTTAAAAAACATTTTATTTTATTTTATTTTTTTACATTCATCACTGTGACTGTACCTGTCTCAGGTCTTTAAGTCACTTGGATGGATAACATTTTGGTGAGTATGCTTAGGGGGAAGCCCAGGGTTCTTCTGAACCCAGCCACTATGAAAGTGACTCACAGTCAAGGTTACTCGGTAGCCCTGAGGAATCAAAGGTGTAGGTCCAAGGTCTCAGCAAACCTGTTTTACCTGCTTTCATCCATTAGAGATTCTCTTTTGTCTAATTGGTTTCTAATTTCAAAGCTTCCAAAAGGAAGAACAAAAATACTAGCCTCCACTTTTTCTACAGAGCTATCTTTTTTCTTTCTTTCTTTTTT